GCAGTTTCTAGTCCTCTCGAAGATAGACGAATATCGTGATTTTGGTGGCGTAAGTTGCATAGGCTGTGAAGGGCAAAAACAACCACACGTTTATGTTTTCTGTAGGTAAGGATAGAAGATGACGTTTTGGTGACCGAAACCGGCTCTGAGTTACTGACGCCAGTGCCTCGTGAAATTACCCAAATCGAAGCGATCATGGCACCATGCAGATCTACACAACTTTAATTCAGAACGTATTGCTTTACAGACTTATGTTTTTTTTAGCTAACCCTGATTTCAAAATTTTGATTGTTTGATTGATTTCAGCTCAGGCGTTTTTGAACTTATTACGCAGAATCACTATTTATTGATTGTTTGCCGTCTATTATTTCTGATTAAGCATTGCTGCCAAATGCTGCATTGAAGTTTTCAATGTCAAAGTTTATCACTGCTAATGTCGCAGTTGCTGACAAAAGTTCGCTTATGAATTGCGCTGTTGATTTCTGAAACTCATATATCTGTGCCCTCTTCAATAAAAGTGCCTCTTTAATGGTTGTATATACAAGGAACAGACCGACGGTAAAGTTTTATTATAGCAGCGAACTTTCAACCAACCTTAATTTTCCATCGCCGGGGTAAACAATTATAGCAGATATTGCAGTTACCAATAGCCAGACTGCACTTTCCATATCGATTTCGTCTAAAAACCACTGATTCGCTTTCGCATTCTGCACTACCCCAGTGGTCATTCTCGGCAGATAGCGAGTCCAGTAATATAGTTAAATGCCCTATCTTGCCGCCGTGTAAATACAGCAGTGGGGTAAGTGACATTCTCAGAATTCGAAAGTGTCCGTTGATACCCCGTGTGATAGCGATGAGGTTTGGTTATGTATATGTGTTAGCATCACATGTCATGTGAGGGCTTCATTGTTGCTGAGCCAAAATGGCAATTTCCCATTCCAGTAAGGTATATAAGCAAATGGTGTATGAAAGTATTAAGTAATTGAGCTGCAATCAGTACGCATAAAATTCAATTAGTTAATGTTACTCTAGTCTTATTCCATTGCATCGAAGACGACACCAAGAGCCGTTGAGAGAATTCTACTTGGATCGCATAAACGCATGCACACCTTTAGTCCATTCGATGACATCTTAATTATAACAAGAACCTTCCATTTTGGTTCAGGTTTTCCTGGCCGCCATCTGCCTTCAGGATTTGCGTTCAGTTTCCGCTTTTCAAGGCGGCTATCGTCCATTCGTTAGCAATGGCCCTACCATTTTGAACGCCCTATTTCCATCTTCTTCATCGTTATCTTCCATCGCCGCTTCTCCTTACCGGTCGCGGAGGCAGACACCTCTGACAGAGCGTACAATGTTCCCGATCCTGTGTCAGAGTCTGACCTTCGGCAAAAGACAAATAGAGTCTAGAACAGACTTCTTCCATATGTTTGCACCAGGCTAATCTTGGCCGTCCCCTGGACATTCTGCAGCTCGGATTTGCAAGGAACAATTGCTTGGTCTTCCTTTCTGGAGGCATTCGCAACACATGCCAATGCCATCGCAGCTGTGACTTCTCAATCTGGAGAACCAAAGGTTGTGTTCCAAGGCTCTTCCGGACGTCATTAATCCCGACCATGTCGAGACGCGCAAGGCCAGCGACTAGTCTAAGAAAGCCCATTTCAGCAGCTTGTAACCGGGTTCGAAGTTTTTCAGCGATTTTCCACGATTCATGACCGTAGGTAAGTATGGGGATAAAGATCGACTTGAATATCGAGAGCATAGTTTTCAG